AAGAAGAAGCGCTGGTACCTACTGGCCAAGGATTCTACAATACTTTTGCAACCTATAAGTACCGAAATTAGGTTGCTGCTAGGACAGACTTCGTCTCACCCTAGGTCTCATAAGTTCCATTGCTGGCAAGTCATTAGAAAAAGCATATCTCATTTTTTTGTGGGATTGTTGATGAGTCAACCTTGTATTCTATCATCACAATCGACTACGCTACTTATATTCATAGGAAGTAGGTTTCGAGACTGTCGGTAAATCTTGAATCTAGCCACCGGTATTCGTGGCAATGTGGTGCAATGGTAACATTTCGAAATTATATGCTACCCTATCACAACCAAGGTCCGAGTTCCATTGGATGGCAGTGATGAGGTTGAAAGTGCAGTTCATCTTGAGTGGAAATACATTTTGGGAAATAAGGTTAAATGAAATTCAATAAAATCATATCATTTTAGGCAAATTCACACATAAAGTTTCATCACTATATGCGACCTTGGATAAATATAAATATATCTCTGGCCTTCTCTTACATATTATTATGTTTATCTTCCTTACGTCAGAGAGTATGGAGGATGAAGACATTTTGGTAATAAGCGAATTATTACAATTTATGCAATGTATTCATTCTATCTTGTCAAGTTGATGAAAGACGAACAGGTGAATTTTTTCATAATCATCTGAATAGACCTTATGTTTCTATTTAAATTCACATAGCTTTGCTTCCCAGAAGTCATTATCATCCAGGCTGGAATGTAATTACGACTTCGTCTTGGTCCCATGACGGAAATCAAGTTTAGTTGTGTAAAATTCATTTATATGAATGCGAGGAAGTTCAACTATTTTTGCTTCAACATATGTTTAGAGAGCGGAATAGTTAATATTTTGAGATTTTACGTTGCACTGCAATCATCTGATCGTGGATCGACGTTTCGCGGGCGTAATCAGCGAGTCTTGCCATTCTCAGCACCAAAATCCAACTCATCAAGACAAGCGAAATTATTGCTTTGACGATTGTGCTACCACTCCTCTTTCTATCCTGCACACATTCTGACTTGTTTACATTCGACGCCTCAAGACGTTGCCCTTTTTGGCGAGTTTATTGTGGCAACCCAACCAAGTTGCGAAAGGTAGTACAGTTTAGATTAGCTTGCCTACTTACGCAAGCCAAAAGAAGAGATGTGAAAAGCATAATTGCTGAAGAAGATAAAGCATGAAGAAGCATCATACCTTCCCGACTGTATGACATTTTGTCTCCTGAGAATGAACACATCTGCTGCAGCTCCGAGTGCCATTTCGCCAAGTCCTCCATGTCAAGCAAATCGAGCTGCCGACATTGCGTTTCATGACCACTGAGACAGTGTGAATTGAACAACTCTTCGATGCCATGGAGGAATTCTGTAGGTCCCGTCGCCTGTGAAGTGGATTGCTTTTGCGGCATTCCAGGGCCCATCAGAAGGATCCAGGGCAGACGCAGAAGGCCTGAGGAAACCGAAGGGCGGCAGAAGGTTGACGCCAGCTCGTGTTGCAGTGAGGTGAGCTGGAGGATACTGGACAGCATCGGACTCAAGTGGTATCGAGTCAATCCGATGACAAGCTCCGAAAGCTGGACGACACGAAATGGGCAATTGCAAAAAAGAGGCACAACTTCATCGTGATGAATGTTAGCTTGGCCTCTAGTCTGCTGATAAAGGCCAAGTTTGCTATTCTTTACGAGATCCCATTCAAATATTGTAATAGAGTTAGACAAAAATGTTAATTTTCCGTTAGTCGCTAGTGGTTCGAAAGTACCAGTAAATCAGTCATATAAGATGTATTCACTCTATTTCATTTCAGATGATGAAGCAGTGATAGTGTAATTTTCCCACAAGCATATGACTAGAGCTGACGTTTTCATGGAATTCCACATAGCCTTGCTTTCTCAAGAGGTGATCTCATCCAAGCTGAAGTGGAATTCAGTTTCGATACTCGTGGCAATGTGGCGTAGTGCTTAACGTGTCGAGTCTACACACTGCACTGTCATGGTTCGACCCCTGCTGAGGGTGATGATGAGACCTGGGCGAGGTCGGAACTGTAGCTCACTCCAGATGAGAACAGCTTTAGGGAAACGAAGGTTATGCGAAATTGAATGGAAACGTAGCTCTACTCATGTCATTGTGGGACAATTCTACTACCAGTTCTTCATTGCCTTACACGAAATAGGGTGCATACATCTCATATTACTGATTTACTGCTAGTCTCGAAACTCTACTTACATACGATAAATAACATTTTCTAATTATATAAAAAAATGTGTATAGGAATTATGGTTAGTAGATGAAATAGTTGATGACAAGTGATAGCGCTGTGCCCAGTCATCTCCATTTGGAATATTAACTCATTTTGGGCTGCAGGAATGTGTTGTTATAGTTTCGAAGTTTTCTCTCTGAACTACCAATTTAAAGTTATAACAAAGGCATACAGTTGATGGATAGAAAGACAGGTTGATGAATGGAAAGAAAAGAAAAAACGTAAAATAGGTACTGTTTTGAATAAATATGCCGCAATTTGTGGGAGCATATCAAGTTGGAAGACTTTTTCTGTGGCTATATCATAGAATGCGAAGAAAATTTGGGTCTCGAGGAATCTCTTGTTTCATAATTGTTGAGCTTACTTCCATTTCGAGTGAAAATGTTGGGGGTGAAGAGATTCGAAGGTCGGTTCCACCAGAAGACGACGGCAGATTCCTTTTGACCATCTGTCAATTGGCTTTATTGGAACATTTATGCTGACGCTGTTTCCGAGGCAATCTCCTTCGATTCCGGTGAAAAGATGTTAGGCTTTCGTCCGTCATGCGACGAACATCACCACAACCAAATACAAGCTAACGAGTCGAAAAACACCTACACTCGAAATGAAAGTAAGCTCAACAATTATATCATAGAAATTCTTTCATTCAGCCATTAGTCTACCAAGTGGAGCGTTCAGAGGACCAGTAAATATTTCCGGGCTCAGAAAAAGCAAGACGATGCCAAATGGAGTGAAACGTTCAGCTAATCTGGACTAGCCTTTCTGAGTTCGGCAAAGGTTGACCTTTATTGTGGCCAACCGATCAGTTCCATACTTTTTCGGGGGCACTTCATTTCATATGAAAGTGTATGAAGAAAAGATTCATACGTAAAGGTCACCAGAAGAGGACGGATCAATCGCGTTGTACTGCAGCCGTTTGGCTTTTAGACGACGTTCAGTTAGACGCAGTCCACGAGACTTATTCTCTCGTTTCGGATGAAAAATGGGTTGAATTTTCGTCCAAAAGAAGGTTAGTAAGTTTTGATGTTGTGTCCATGAACACATACATTCCTGTTCAAGGAGCTATTCAAGCTCTGATACAAACTATGGAGGAGCATCCAGAGAGTGTAGCCTCCATTATTAGACTTATCAACCTATCCATGAGTCATGCATGTATCTAACCGACAATTTGGAGGTTAATATTGCTTCTTGCAGGAAGTGTTTCTCCAGTCTTGCCACATAATTGTTCGTCAAGCTGGGAGCCAAGCAAGATCCCATCGCTAACCCTTACCATCAAAGGTAAAATATGTGGTACTCACGGATAGTTTAATAAGTCTAATAATGGAAGCTCTTCCAGAGCTTGTATCAGAGCTTGAATAGTTCCTTGAACAGGAATGTTTGTGTACATGGACACAACATGAAAACTCATTAGCCTTCTTCTGGACGAAAGTTCAACCCGTTTTCACCCGAAACGAGGGAGAAGGTCTCGTGGATTACATCAACCTGAACGTCGTCTAAGAGCTAAACGGCTGCACTCTCCTGCGCATTGAAAGTTCTCCCAACAATGTCATCGCGGGAGATTCATCGAAACCCAGTTTCTCTTCGTAGCTACCCAACTTTAGTATTCACCCAACTTTAACGTTATTGGCCTCAACCCGGCCAACAAGTATCAAGGCCAACCGCATGAGGATGGGAACGGAAATCCAGAATAAGCAATACAACGCAAAATACGCATGATGATGAACAGATGGAGGGACGGAGATAACGAAAGAAAGCAGGAGGGAGTGAGAAAAACGAAGGATATGCCTACCCTCATGCGAATTGGCTCGGAGGCTACGGCCGATACTGGGAAAAGGGAATATCTGTGCAATCACGAAGGAGAGGACAACCCTCTTCACCAACTTGCCCAAAAAACATGAAGAAGTCAGCAAAATGGAATGCTCTGGAGTTTACAGAACAAAGTTCAAGGACTATAGACAAAAATACATCGGAAAGACGTAGAGGACAATAAGCGCAATGATCCAAGAACACCAGAGACTATGTTAGGGGGATCTTCATTTCGGATGAAAGTACATGATGAAGATATTCGTTTGTCGATCTCACCAGATGAGGACGGATGAAAATCGTTGTACTGCAGCCGTTTAGCTTTTACATTATATTCATGTTGACGCAGTCGACGAGTATTCCGAAACGAGGGAGGAAGCTAAACGGCTGCAGTACAACGATTTTCATCCGTCCTCATCTGGTGAGATCGACAAACGAATCTCTTCATAATGTACTTTCATTCGAAATGAAGGAGCTAAACGGCTGCAGTACAACGATTTTCATCCGTCCTCATCTGGTGAGATCGACAAACGAATCTCTTCTGTCTGTACTTTCATTCGAAATGAAGCGGCTGCAGTACAACGATTTTCATCCGTCCTCATCTGGTGAGATCGAAAAACGAATCTCTTCTTCATGTAGTTTCATTCGAAATGAAGGTCCCCCTAACAATGTTATCTCAGAAGATTCATCGAAACCAAGTTTCTCTTCGTATCTACACCATAGACTATGCAGAAAGATGGATATGGAAAGCTCTGAGGTAGAGGGACACATCGCCATTACCAGCCACACAATCGACTAAAACCCAACGGACAGACTGGTCTCATGTGGGACGAAGAGCAAGAAATGGAAGCGAGGCTGTGGAAATTCTCTTTCAAAGAAACTTCATGAAGATGCGAGTAGAAGAGGGAAGAGCCGACAGCCTGGACAGACTGACAGATTCATCGAAGGAAACAAAAAAAA